TGGCCAGTAACCATTCGCACTCCTTCTGCTGGTAGTTTAATCGCTACACAAATGTTAGAGGAGCCCGATAGCATAAAGGCTCTTCTTATTACTAAACTGACCAATCAGAATTGCGATGTTGCTTGCTTATACCTGAAGTGAAATTCCTTCAAGACTAATTCGAAAGTACTTGCTTCGGATTTGTGTACTAATAAAATGACGTTTAAATATAAAGCTCCTCCAATAATAAAAAAAACCTTCAAAAACATCCTATGGAACTTTTCAAACAAATTGCATTTTCTGTCTTTCTGTATTGCCCTGCTTGTTCAAGTTCTCTGTGATGATGTATTATTGTTGGAGATTAACACGTGCGAATAATACTAAAAAGAAAAAAAAAATTAAGTTGTCTCTCTTTGCAAATATAACCGATAATTGTCGGAGGAAACCATTAAAGCCAATCAGCTTTCACTATCACTTTAGTGTGTCATCAAACCTACATGTGAGACAACAGGTGAAGAGAAACATTCAAATTTATCCAAAATGTCAATCCAAATGAATAAAGGATTGCATAACAAGTGAAACTGAAAGACAGGGGCATAAATTAATTTGCCATGAATTTATCTACACTTAGGTGAGTGGATGATAGACGGAAAGGGGCTCTCAATTCAATCCTAAATGTTATTAATGGTCATAGTATGTGAGCACTGAGCAGCATGATTTTTTCCAATTTATTTGCCATTTTGACAAGTGTTGCATTGGTGATTGGAGAGATCTGAATGTGTTATTAATTATTGTAATATATCAGGATTTCTGTACATAAATAGCATAAAAATCTGAAATCTTTTAACAAATCTATTTACCAATCTAATATATGAATCTAGTTGTGCTAAATTCTTTCTCTTCTACAGGCATTCTTCTCTCTCCACACATGCACTTTGAGGCTAGCAGACCCTTGCTGTGTTTCTCACTCTTATTAACGCTCAGCTGTTAAAATGCTTCTAAGTGACCCAACAGATGCTTAGAGAGAATGACCCTGTTTTAGCTCAGAAAGGCCTGTTTGTTTCACAGCTGGGCTGGGAGTTGTGAATCCCACGGCATAATATAGTGCGCCTGGCTGCTACATCATACAGTAGATAAAATGAGACATTAACTGCTGTAGGTTGACTGGATTATGAATTTTTTAAGCACCTTTTGATTGGTCTGCAACAACACAAGTATGTTAGTACAGTCTCTGTCTCATCTATCTGGATTCCCAGAATTCAATTGTTCCTGGATCACAGTTTCATACATCAGTTAATTCAGTTTGGAAATTGAATGCTAATATAATTCCAACATACAATTTTGTTACAGTTACAGTTCATTTGTATTTGATTGTTGACATCTACTTTCCTAGCTGTGCTAGTTTCTTGTCCCTCATATAAATCCACACTCTTAATCCTCTCACATATTAAAATAATTGAACGTAAATCAACATTTCATATATGAAGATTTCTGTAAAAAAAAAAAAAAAAAAAAAAAAAAAAAGATATTAGCCAAGTAATTCAACAGATAGTGTAAATATATTGGCTTACTGCATCATGGCCTCTTGAAATCCTCCCTAGGTTTGCACCAAAAATCACCCCTCTCCTTTCTTCCCATAGAGAGCCAGAATAAAAGTGTTGTCATTGATGATTTATGTGTTTCTTTGTGAACGCAGCGCTCTGTAAAGATGGGAGAAAAGGGTGTGAGAGACTGAATGAAATGAAAGACAGAAGGGAAGAATGAGGGACTAGGCGGACAAGAGCAAGGAAGAATTTCTGTAAACACTGCTGGCCATCTGGGTCTCAGTGAGAGGCTGAATGTGAGTGTTTAACTAGACTTATTTGCTGAGGTGTTCATGCATTCAGTTACTGAAGCGATGGGATTCCAGAAGAACATTTCACAAATAGCATGGAGGACTTTCATTTTTACTGGGTTCAGAGGCCACGTTTAAAAGTATAGGCTAAATTTAGACACCACAGTGTTGGCGTCTCATTTCTTCAGAGTTGTATAATATCAAATGAAAAAGATTGAAGACTGTGTGATTATGGAAGGTGATGTTAACATTAAAACTGATATTATACTATTAATTTAATATACATTACTGTTCAAAAATTTTGATTGGTAAGATTTTATTTTATTATTTATTTACTGAACAAAGTCTCTAATCTTCACCAAGGCTGCTTTTATTTGATCAAAAGTACTGTTAAACCTCAATATTATAACATTTTACTATTTAAAATGACTATTTTGTATTTGAAATTGTAATTTATTGCTTTGATGCAAAGCTGTATTTTCAGGAGCCATTACTCCAGTCTTCACTGTCACATGATCCTTCAGAAATCATTCTAATATACTTGTGCTCTACAAAGTCTAATGAATCGTGAAAATGGTTGTGCTGCTTAACATTTTTATGGAAACCTTGATACTTTTTTCAAGGAACAGAATTTTTAAAATAAAAATCTTGAAAAAGAAATAACATGAATAACAATGAATGTCTTTACAGTAACTTTTCATCAATTTAATGCACCCTTGCTGAATAAAATAAAATTCATTAAAAAATTCACATTGACCCCTAACCTTTGAACGGTACTGTAATCTATTACAAAACACTATAAACTAAAACCAAGAGTTATGATAAATATGTGCCATATTTAACTTATGTTATGCCATAAAATAATTAAGGTATCACAGAAATATCTAATATTAACCTTTGTTGATAATTTCATTTAAATATGGACATTCATATATACATCTCCTAATTCCTGAGAATGTATTATTATGTGTCAAGGTTTCAGGACGTTAGCTTTTACAGTATATGTTTAGACCATCAAAAAATAAATAAAAATAAATAAATCAAATCACTTATCTTTTACACATCTTTTACACTTACTTCTTTCTGATTATAATCATCACTGGTATGTGTATGTTGTTCTAGTCATTGCAGTAATGCCTAGCTAATCAAAATGCTAATGTTAGCGCTTATGTTACTGAGTGCCTTTCCTCCTCATCACATTGTACTTGTTTACTGATTTGATTTTGCAATTTTTTTTTTTTTTTTTTGAGAGTGAATGAGACTCTGTGTCCAACCTTTTTAAAAATTGGAAGTCCAAAAAAAGGCCTGGGAGAGAATGTGAGAGAGTGAAGAAGCGAAAAGATGCCAGCTGTTAGGGTGAAAAGGTCTACATCAGTGTTTCACTCAATGTTTTTCATGTCAGATTTTGTTGCTGATTTGAAATATGTTATTTAAAAGGGGCAAGCGGTTTTTGAGATTTGGGACTTCCCCATTCAGGTAGATAGGACTTGGATGCCCAAAATAGCTACCTGGAGACATTGCAGAAATGGCCGCTGAGTAAACAAACTTTCTTGAAAGGGACTTTGGCTTACATTCATCTTTTTGTTCTTTTTCTTCTCTTCTGCATTTTCATTTTTAGTTACATTAGTGTTTGCATTTGAGAATGTGTGTGATTTGATTAATAAGGTCTTATAGTTGTAGCCAACAATAAATGTTTGTAGTTGGATAAAACTGTATGCCTTATACCACATAATTTGATAAATGTTGTCATTACACTTTATTAATGTGTAATGGAAATACATTACACTTAATTAATTAGGCACATATACATGTTAATGTTTTTTTTAACAAGCTTTTGATGTATAGTGGACATTATTATTAGCGTTACATGATGCTAAATCAGATTAAAAATGATTTATGATAGTGTACAGCTCATCCAGATCGGTCTTTGACCAGAAACTATATCATTACATCTCAAAGTCTCAAAGAGCGGAAAACCTAGATGGCACATAGCATATCTGCGTGATTCTCAGGAGCTTGAGAAAAAGCCAAAGGTCAGCTCCATCACTTCCGTCATTTTGAGGCAATCTTTGTTTCATTCACATCTTGTTGGTATTGTTTTTTTATTTTTGTTTTTTAATAAAAAATGAAGCATCAATGTGTTATGAAAGCTTATTTTGTCATGTAACTAGAGACAAGCAAAACATTAAATGGAGATATAACAATGTAAGCATACATGAACACCCACTGTTTACTGTCTGGGATTTCTGCAGTGTGAAAGGTAAATTACTGAAAGTTCCTTTCTAGTTACTTAGAACTTCACTAGAGATCCTTAGAAGTGAGAAAATCCAATAAACAGGTTGCTTCCTGTCGTTTGACTTGCTTTTACAGTTTAAAAGCAAGGTCATGTTTAAGAGTATAGGCTAAATTTAGATAACTGAGAAAGTCATGTCTAATCTCAAATCAAACATTTGAAGCAGGTATGAGATGATTGCATAATTATAGGAGGTGATGTTAACACTGAAATGTGTTATTATATTATTAATTACACTAAGTTGAAAAGTCTGGGGTAGGAGTAGGATTTTTAATGTTTTTTTGAAAGAGGTCTCTTTTGTTCTTAGACATTTACACTTAACATTTTAAACTAAATGGCCTGGATCTGTGGATTTGGAAATTATCATAAAATAGGTATGATTAAATTTCAAGGTAAAACTGTTGTTGATGTTTTTTTTTGTTTTTAGCTAAAAGAATATTAAAATTATAATGAATAGTTGCATAATCTTCCTTTGTGAAGGAAAAAGTGTATTGTGCTTGTATGTGATCTCTCAGTAGGCACTTTGGTAGTGTTTTGGTAGTTTAATGTCTTAACATGGTATACAATATTTTTAGTTTGTAATGTTTTTATTACATAGCAGACAACAGGGTGTGCTGCAGAGATTATAATTAATTGATACTGCTAGCAATATATATTATACATTACTTATTAGGTCCTTTTACTAACTTGTTAATGGTCATTTAGTTTTTATTTAGTTATGTTTAAAATTAATTGTTGATGGATTGAGATACATTTAAATAATTTATGTTTAATTATCAGTTAATTGGATGGTTAACACTTATTGATGTATTACTACATTGGATAATTAATTGATAACCTAACTGACCATTGATTGAATTATTAATTGTTTTATTTTTTATTTTTTTTCCACAGGCCATAGCCATGGCTTCTTTCCTAGTAGCTTTGGTGCATTTGGCTCTATTGCCATCAGCGTTTGGAGGTGCATATTATGGACACAAACCACATCCTCAACAACATCAACCCTTACCACAGATGCCTCATATGGGCATGGGAAAGGATATGTCACACATGCCATATCCACATTACAAAAAAAACCTACCAATGCACCTAAACAAAGGCAAAGATATCAAAGGTATGAAAACTTGTGTATCTTAGCACTTGTAGTCATATTATATATGGTATACATGGCATTGTAGTACTGACCCTGCCTTTCCCTTACAAAGGTGAAACCATTCCCAGAGGTGAGCAGGGTGTTCAAGGAGAGACTGGACCGCAAGGGCCCCCTGGTCCCCAAGGACCTCCTGGGCCTCAAGGTATTGGTATACAAGGCCCTCTTGGAAAGCCAGGACCTCCTGGTCCTCCAGGATTTCCAGGAGTTGGTAAGCTAGGAATGCCAGGTATGCCCGGGAAGTCAGGAGGTATTGGGCAGCCTGGACAGCAAGGTGAACAGGGACCCAGAGGTGAAGAGGGACAACCAGGCGTGACTGGGCCACCCGGCCCTCCTGGACCCCCCGGCCTGCCAGGAATAGGAAAGCCTGGTGGACAAGGATTACCAGGACAGCCAGGGGCAAAGGGAGAGCCAGGACATAAAGGTTTTCCTGGTCTCCGAGGGTTACCTGGGCCTAAAGGAGACAGAGGAATTGGACAACCAGGCCCACAAGGGCCAAAAGGGCCGATTGGGCCACTTGGCCCCCCAGGGCAGGCAGGATTACCGGGGCTCAGTAAGCCTGGCCTTCCTGGTGTAGCAGGTCCACCTGGTATGCCAGGAAAACCCGGAGAGCCTGGGGAGCCAGGTCCAGAGGGTCCACCTGGTGGACAAGGCCTAAATGGACCACAAGGAGCCCCTGGTATTGGAGTTCCAGGAGAAAAAGGATTACCAGGACAGCCAGGTGCACCTGGCCACAAAGGATTACAAGCACCACCAGGGTTGCCTGGGAAACCTGGATTACCTGGAATTGGCAAACCTGGATACCCTGGCCCAAAGGGTGACAAAGGGATGGGAGGGCTTCCTGGTCCTCAAGGACCAAAAGGAGACAAAGGTTACGCTGGTCAACCAGGCATGACGGGTCCCCCTGGTCAAACTGGTCCTCCGGGCCCTCCAGGAACAATGGGGGCACCAGGAGGAATTGGTTCCCCAGGACTAAAAGGAGAGGGAGGGGCAGAAGGAGCCAAGGGAGATCCTGGACCTATGGGACAGCCAGGTCCTCCAGGATTTCCTGGTCAACCAGGCCTCCAAGGTGAAGATGGAGAACCTGGGCCAAGAGGACCACCAGGACCCATAGGTCCCAAAGGTGAAGGAGGAAGCAGAGGTCTGCCTGGTCCCCCAGGTTCATCTGGCTTACCTGGTCTTAAAGGAGAACCTGGTCAGACTGGCCCTGAAGGACCACAGGGTCCTAAAGGTATTCCAGGACTTGCAGGTCCAGGAGGACCAATTGGGCCTCCTGGACCTTCCGGGCCAAAGGGAGAAGCTGGTCCACCAGGTCAAGCTGGTCCGCCTGGTGAAGGCATTGCTGGAATCCCTGGTCGTGTTGGTCCAGCAGGTCCACCTGGCCCAAATGGATCCCCAGGTCAGCCAGGACTCCCAGGTCCAGCGGGGCCTCCTGGACCCCCAGGCCCCCCTCCTTCTCCTGACCTGATGGGTGTTCTTCCTGAGATGGGCCCTGCCATAGATGGTATAAAAACTGGTGGGTACAAGAAAGGGAAGTATGCAGGTGGGGGTAATATGATGGGTGCCAATGGTCTGGAGATGCCTGCTTTCACTGCCAAATTGACCACACCATTCCCTCCAGTTGGCACGCCAATAGTGCTTGACAAATTACTGTATAATGGGCGTCAGAATTACAACCCTCAGACCGGTGTGTTCACCTGTGACCTCCCAGGCATCTACTATTTTGCCTATCATGTGCACTGCAAGGGTGCCAATGTATGGGTTGGGCTCTACAGGAATGGGGAGCCACTTATGTATACATATGATGAGTACAAGAAGGGATACCTGGATCAAGCATCTGGGAGTGCTGTGATTCCATTACAACCAGGAGACACAGTTTATTTACAGTTACCATCTGACCAGGCAGCTGGATTTTATGCAGGACAGTATGTCCACTCTTCCTTCTCTGGCTTTTTACTGTACCCAATGTAGACCACAAGAATAAGTGAAAGAATTTTAAGGAGAAAGAGGGGAAGAAAGAACTGACATTAAAATTAAAAAAAAAATGTTTAAAAGACTTTTTAAAAAATGTCAGTATTTTCACAAGGAAGAAAGAAGACTCATAGAAACAGCTCCTTTAAACACAACCAAACAATATCAATCTACAGACTGTATGAGTATATGCAATGCTAAATTACAGAATACTGTGTCTGTAGAGATACAACCTGCACAAAGACTCTCACAGATTGTAGTAAGAATATTCAATTCCATACCACATTTAAACAGATTTTTGAAAAGATTGTTTTTGTAACATATTTATGTATTTGTTTAATTGGTGGTATCCAACATGAGTATACATGCTTTAAAATGTTTAGAACACTATTTTTAATGATGATAACTAATGTATTCGCTTTGAATGAGATGCGAAAAGCCATTCAGTTTTTCAAAAATATCACATATCATGTTTCTCTTTCTTTATCAGTGATTTTAAAAATTTTTAAAGGTTTTGCACACTTGTAATATTTTAACACAACCTTTGTGTGAACTGCAACCAAAGTATGAATTTGTTTGTTTGTATGTCTGTGTGTGTGTGTGTGTGTACATGAGCATGAGCATGAGCATGAGAGAGCATGCGTGTATGTGCTAGATTTTATTTTAGCCAAACTCCCCGCCCCCCAAAAAGATTAGTTTTAAACTTTAAATATTAATTTGTCTGAAAACCACTTCTGTTTCTATAATGAACTTTCATCAAAATTATAGTTTTACTCACAATACTTTAAATATCTCATGATCATCAGTCATATATATCACATCACTTCCTTTGTTTCCACCATATTCTGAATTCAACTGCTGGCTTTTCAACTGTTGGATGAAATTTTACCCTTTTTTGACTACTGATTGTATAATAACCTTTGTTTTTATATGTCGGTCACTTTCAATGACGGTTCAAACATTGTCTAATCCAATGAAAACCCGTTTGAGTACCTCCCACCCCCTTTTATTTTAATTTGTTTGTGACTTTTTCTTTGAATTTTTTAATAAAGATGATTTACATCCATAACTGTGTGTCCATCAAATTCTTGTATTCTAATTTTGTTACAATGATATGAAATAAAATCTTATTACCATGTATGAAATTAGGTACTCTAAAGATTAGGTGATCTCTTGCAGTTAATCTCTGCACCTAAATTCTATGCTCGTTTATTAGTCATTTAAAAATGTGACAGTTTCTATTGTGAATAATAGGCCTACTATGCAATACTAGTAATTATTGTGGTAACTTTGTCTCTTAGTCATCAAAAAGAGAAAGAAAAAAATATTGTAAAATATTCTTCGAACTGTTATTTTATTATGCTTACGTTATATGATAACCTCCCTGGACATGTCCTAATAAATATTCATAAGCCTAGCCTTCACCATAGTATGATGGATTCGTCCGCTGTTACATCCTCTTCTTTCAGGAAATCAGAATGGTCAGGAATCTATTCAATATTCATGAGCCAAACCAGCGCATCCGGCTCAGTACTCGGTGATACTGAGGATGCGCAGACCGAGATGCTGCGCTGTCAAATCACATTGAGCGGAGGGGCGGAGAGATTCTTTATTGCCCTGTTTGTGCGCATGAGCAACATATTATTGCCTTCATTGATAAAAATCCTTTGTGTTAACATTTCCTCATCTAATCTCACTGTCGCTTTTGGCGCGTTTCATCACTTCATACGGTAAGTCATTTATTAAAAGGCGCATCGCATGAAATAACTACTTTGAATTTACAGTGATCCGTCTGTCAGTTCAAACAGTCAAATTATCCTTCATCCGGAAACCGGTCGCTATATGTGCCTATATGGTCTTAAATAGACCATTTTTTGATGCCTTTATTTCATTATTGTAAATAGACATATATCTGTATGCGTCACCTTTTATGTTTATAAACGTGAAATTCACACGCTTTGCTTGGGCTATATGTCGGGTTTCATTTTTAATGTAAGGTTGCGCAGATGTTCAGATATTACAGGACTATGTCATTTATCTATACTGGGACCCTGTATTAGATGTTACAGTAGTTATTGTGTGGCTTGATGCATTAAATTTTGAATACTTAATTTGAGCGTTTTTTTAGATATTTCTAAATATGCTCTGTACATTAAAAGTTGCAATTTGCAAAATTAATATGTTACGTGTTGGGATCTGTGAATAGCATGTACTGTATTTACACGTTGTTACAGTCATCTGGAAATCGGCAATGGCATCACGTGCGGGCCCAATAGCTGCAGGGAATGATGGGAGTGATTTTAAACATAGAGAGAAAGTGGCTTCTCACTATCAGATGAGGTAACTAACCCTTATACTCTCACAGTAATATAACATATAACCAATAACTGCATATATGTATATATCAGAATATGTATCTGAACTTTGATGTCTTTCAGTGCTTCACTGAAATCAGAGATAAAGAAGCTCACCATAGTGCATTTCTTCATATGGATACTGGTGGTGGCTCAGGTGGCTGTTAGTCATCTCAATCTGGTGTCACATGATCTGGTGGCCATGCCCTATCAGTGGGAGTATCCATACCTTTTGAGTCTCCTGCCCTCGTTTATTGGAGCCCTGGCCTTGCCAAAGAACAACATCAGCTATCTGGTGATCTCCATGATCAGTGCTGGTTTGTTCTCAGTGGCACCCTTGATTTTTGGTGCAATGGAAATGTTTCCACTGGCCCAGCAGCTGTACCGACACGGAAAAGTTTACCGGTTTATCTTTGGTTTCTCGGCCGTGTCTGTGATGTATCTACTCATGGTGATCGCTATTCAGGTGCACGCATGGCAAATCTACTACAGCAAGAAGCTTCTAGATGCCTGGTTCAACTCAACACTAGAGAAGAAGAAGAAATAAACATGCTGTTGTATACTTGAATTTATCTCAGTCTCAGTTGTTACTGTACAATGCATGCAATTATTATAAATGTTTAAATATTTACAATTTAAATGTACATTTGTAAGCTAACAAAGCTTAATATCTGGATTTTTTACATTTATTCACATATGTTAAAATTATGTTTACCTTTTTAAATTGTTTACCTTTTTTTGTTTTAACGTGTTATTTAAAACCTGAAATTCTGTTTGATTACAAAATGTTTAGTTCATGTCAAGAATACAGAGCCATTCACATCATTATTATTACTTTATAATAAAATTAAAAATAAATAAAATATTTCTTTAAATATTTTCTTTTCATTTATTTCAAACTAATTATTTCATTTTAAGCTTGAATTGAAAAAATCTAGCATGATCTATATCCGTTTTTTTAGCTTGCATTATCAATACTTTCTTTTATTATTTTGGTTGTGAATTGTTTTGATTTGGCTACTCAGAAATCTACTTCTGACACAACACTTTCACACATTATTTTTATAGACTAGGAGGTGATACATCAGTATCTGGTGAGAGGGAAGAGAAATCTAAAATATTTTACCTTATGTGAACAGAGGCTTCAATAAACCTATAAAGCTTCATGTCTAATTGATCATACATACATATATATATATATATATTACATTTTTTTAAACTCTTGTAAAAACTGTAGATTATTTGTGGTTAATATGATGATCCCTCTAGTGGGCTAGATCAAGAAAAAATGCTTCTTACCCAAACACAATTTGTAAAACAAACACAACAGACTACAGAGAAAAAAAAATGTGAATTAAAAAAACTGATTAGACCCCATTATATCTTTGGCAAACAGTATGGTTAAATTCATATTAAACACATTGTCACATAGTCATAGGCCTATCACTTTGCAAGAATCAGGCTCATAGCCTACTAGATAAATTAATTGAAACTTCAATCAGTTTTATGTTTAAATGAACAGATTAATTTAATATTAAATACATTTATATTATTTTGGTTAACAAAATGCAGCCAGACGCCATATAGGCCATCTCATGATGAGTAGTAATTAAATTTACAAGACAGTGTAAGCAGTGTCCGGATAGCGCGCATGCGCGGTTGTGGTTTTGCCACGTACAGGTCGCTGTGAAGCGTTTCCGATCATCAGTCAGTCAGGCGTCGTTCAGCTAAAGTCCAGGACACACAAGGCTGCTGCTGGGATTGACACGTCCAAACCACCAGGTAGAGACGCGGGGCTTCTCCTACAAACATTTACATACTTTTATATAGTCACTTTAGAGTTTTTTAAGGCACCTCTGAAAATGAACCATTAGTGGTAAGCCGGTTGTCAAGCAAACTAGCATTAGCTTAGCTTAGCTTGTGAGAAACTAGGGCAAGCTAAATAGAAAAAAACAAACAAACAAGAGAGACGTTTTGTACAAAAGTCAGTGTTTTTAAGCCACTATATGGCGTAATTAAATAATCGTATTTAAAACACAGGAATAATTGTTGCTGTAATTCAATTGAGATTTGATTACAGTATTTCATAATTTTACGCCATTCAGAGCTTTATTTGGCAGGAAGTTGCTGCATCATCAGGTGAACGAGGCCTGATGAGATGATTTAAATGGATCATTATTTGGCAAGGCATTTAAACGTCATGCGGGTGCGATGATGGGAAATGGCCTGATGTGTGTTGTGATCCAGAAACCACATCTTTTGCACTTATAATAAGAATTTCTGAGTAAGCTGATGACTCTTCATATTTACATTACATTTACATTTAGTCATTTAGCAGACGCTTGACAAATAAGACACGAGTAAATGCAAATGCATTTGCTATGCATTGACAGTTTTCCAAGCAGCCAGTTCCTTTATAGTTTTGTCATTTTCTTAATCCAGCGGGCAACAAGTCAAGAGTTTCAGTCATGATGGCTGTCATTAAGTTCCATATGAGATAAATACAGGTCTGTCTACATGCTGCAGAGTACCAGGATGAATGATGGGTAAACTAATCAGAGTAGGAGATAAAATTGTCCCGGATTGATCACACACACTCAAACTGTTTGTATTGTGATCTAAATCCCAAAATGTTTCTCCCAATAATCATGCTTGAGGCCAAAGTCTGAGTTAAGAATGATTGTAGGCCATCTGCATGTGCCAAATCATCTTATATCTCATGACCCTTAGACTTTTATAGTATGTCCCAATAATGTACAGTAGCACTTGTTCAGATATAACCGCATAGATGAGACATTAGACTATGGGTTTCCAAGTAAGACATAAGTCATTCACTGACATTTTTATATTCATAACAAAAGCAGGGGAGTTAGCGGTGAGTGAAGAAGACACTCATTGAGATACAAATATCAGATTTCATGGTTAACTTGTGTTGCGAGTGGAATTCTGTGCTTCTGATAGAAAAGCTTAATAACTGTGCCTTCACAGATCATGTCATTGGTTTTACGCTGGTCTGTTAGCTCTGCATATGCCTACATTTAATGTAGGCCTATTTATCACTGCTGCAGCTCTGATAGTGTGTTTGGTTTCAGTTTGTTCCTGTACTATCAAATGATGTCTGATGGGCATGTGATGTATTAAATAGTGATAAATATTTTGCTTCTTTAATAAACTTCCTAATAGTAAAAGTGTAGTTTTGGCTGTAGAAACTGGACAATTTTTTCTTCAATGGATTTTGAGTATTGTTAATTTAATTTCAATTTTAATCTCAATTTTGTGTTTCATTTGCCATTGTACTAAATTGGATAATAATGGCAGAATAATGGCATTGGTCTTGGCTGATGAAAAGCATATTTTTAGTTTATCTATAAATATATTAGACAATATTTTAAATAAAATTGTACTTTTTCCAGCAGTATGAATGGCCAGCTGGACTTGAGTGGGAAGCTGATCATTAAAGCTCAGCTGGGCGATGATATCCGCCGTATCCCAATCCACAATGAAGACATCACCTATGACGAGCTCCTGCTGATGATGCAGCGAGTCTTCCGTGGGCAGCTACAGAGCAGCGATGAAGTTACCATCAAATATAAGGATGAAGGTCAGTTTTGGACTTCAAAACGTGCATGTATCATAAATTGACCAACTTATAAGGTTATAGTAACTGGACACCATGCATATGTATATTTAACCGTTTTTTATCAGTCATGTAGAATAAAACTAGTAAGATCTGTACACCTATAGATGTTCTTAATAAACCTTCTTAGGGGGTTTTGGTATAGATCTCATACTCTCTGCTGATTTTACATGTGGTACAGTTTTATTTTAGGTTCAACTGCAGCTCTGCAAGTACTGCATTCATTCTCTCTTTTTTTGCTCTCTTCCAGATGATGACCATATCACCATCTTTGACAGTTCTGATTTGTCCTTTGCAATCCAGTGCAGTAGAATATTGAAGCTCACTCTTTTTGGTAAGAAATCAGCACTGCTTAAGGGTTTTTGCTCATCCTGATGTTAAGGAATATTTCTGCACAAAGATACCAGGAAGGAGCATGAAATGAATATGTTGTATCTCTTTGAAAAGCACAGTTTACGTGTAGCAGTATTCAAATACTAAATTATGTAATGCATAACCAGAAGTTAATCAGTGTAAAAAGTAGTCTCAGCTTAAAAGTGCAATGTAGAACAACGTAGTTTAAGTGATGTGCTTTAAAAGCTGAAATGTGAAGCACAGCCCACTTGCCTATTAGGTTTCAGTTGTAAATTTATTTCTGTTGTTTGTCCCTCAGTTTGTAAAATACACAAGTTATTTTCTGTTATAAATGACAACGGGCCACAGATACAGGCACAACAACAGTTCTCGTCAGTGCTAATCATGCCTAGAGTTAATGTCAGTGAGCATGTGTAGGTTTATCTTACCTGCAGGGAGATCATATTCCAAAAACACTTCAGTGCTCATAGTGTCCCTTTACAGAATAACAGAAAGGTTCACAGGACTATAAGAACCAAGCAGCTCATTTGAGCTACATACCTTTTTATAGTTGCAGCTCTAAAATATTTTATCGGGCAGAATGTAGTCAAAGCCTATAGTTGTTTTATGCTCTTTAAATGGTGTTTTACATACTAAAATAAAAGAGGCATATCAAGTTAAAGCTTCTTGATTTCTCAATGTGTCTTTGTGACCCAGAAAACTGTGTTGTTCTGTAATCTTTGGGTTAAATGGACTCTCTGTTAAGAACATAATCCCACATTGCATGGGTGGTGTAATATTGCGGAGTTAATCTCTTTTAATCTTAAAAATGCTGAATTTGGTAATATTTCATCCAACCAGGAGATGTCGTTTTTCTCTTGTGGGATAAACACAGCTGCAGCTTTTAATGTCCAGCAGAGGGCACAATAGAACAAGATTTGAACTGATAATGAGTCCATTTGTTTGTCTTTGTAAGGTTATCAGCAGGGGTTTGAATTTGGATTTTGGAGCCAATGGAACATTAAAATCTGATGGTGACCCCTTTAAGTGTGACTTGGGTGTCCAAATATTTGTTGGGCCACTAATATGGTTTAACAGAACATGGATTTTAAACATATCTCAGATGTTAACAGATATAATGCATTACTCCAAACAGAAAGGATATTTGTTCTCTAAGAACATTAATTGTGACCAGTGGCCTTGGATATTTGAACAAGGAAGGTTTACATAAAGCAGTGGTTCTCAACCAGGAGGCAAGAAGCATCATGATGATTTAAAATAATTTAAATTAAGATAAAACAAGCATTAAAATAAAACAACTACAAATATAGATATTTTGTATGTTATTTTTATCTTTTGTATTTTAATTCATCCCCTGTTTGTTTTATTCAAAGAAAACCTGTATAAATGAGGAAGTGTTGTTTTCAGACCTGAAAAGTCATGTAAATATATTACTAAATTCTTTAAATTTTTTTATATAAAAAAAAAACAAAACATTTAACTATTCATACCAAGCTCTAAAATATTTTATTGGGTAGAAATTGCAAAAATTAAATAATTAAAAATCATTATCAAATAAATCACAAATGACTGTATGTTCGGAGAATGACTGTAAATTAATTGGTTAAATTGAGTGGGAACACTGAAGAACATTCAGCTCCTGAAACATTTTTTAATTTACAGAAACTGAATGCCCATAGATTAAAAATAAGTTTTGAAAGCAAAACTAGGGCTTTTGAATAAATATTGTTGTGGACAAGTGAGGGGACTTGGAGTCAAAAAGTTTGAGAACCACTGACTGAAGAGAAAGTTCACCCAAAACTTTACAGTTAAGGTCAGTGGGATCCAGTGTTTCCAATTTGTCAAAATATCGTCTTTTGTGTTCTGCACGAAATAAAGTCATACAGGTTTGGAACAACCTGGTGGTGAGTAAATATTAGTGATAGCAATTTTCATTTTTGGGTGAACTATTCCTTTAAGATAGATTAGGTCATTTTACAGACTTACAGACAGTCTGCTCTCAATCACGTGAGCTGTGCTGAAAAGCCACTCTCTTTAACTGGTACATGGCACAAACAAATATTCTCAAGAGAGGAAAATCGGACCTGGTTACTTGCCAGTAACGCCATGCTCTGTTCTAGTGAAGTTTGGCACACGCCGGTACATCTGCACTGCAGTGTCAGTGCCAGTTCTCAGCATATGCCGACTACTCTTCAAATGTGTCATCATAAATGCTGCAGAGCCTGTAGATTTGGGCTGCTTGATTCATACACTCTTTTACACCGTGATTTATTTATCAAGCCTAGCCAAAATCAAAGGAGTCTGTGTGGGTTTAACTAAATCCACTATTTATACTCCTATTCAATACAATGAATGAGCTGATTTAAGTACCAACTCAAAATACATGTTTGTTTTCCTAATAAAAATTAATTAATAACTTTTGGTGAAGTCTGCACTCTGCACTGTCCAATGCCTCCATGCTCCAGCCAGATGATGTCATGTCTTATGTCAGCAAATGTAGCCCTGCCCTTTGTTGGATGCTTTAACTAGTTAAAGAGAATTTTGGGAAGAAGATTTTATGAGTTCAAATGTGCTGGTTCATGGTTGTATAATATCACGTGCATGTATACATCCCAAACGTGTGACTGGCGCCCAGAGACTGGGTTGGACGCCTGCTAGAGCTCCTGTGATCTCTGAAGAGTCTTGAACTGTTCAAGTGGCTGCCGCTCTCACACATATGGACTCAGGAAAGAACATTCCAGACTCACACACAGTGCCAAACCTCTGGATTACCTCATCATATAGACATAGTCTGGCTATCTAAATTATCTAATTTTGTTGTTCACTTGTTGACATCCTGAACAGGCGAATTGGGACAAGCTTCCAGCATTGAGCTTTTATTTATTTTTTGTCCTCCTTGTAAGCGAAAAGCTGCATGAAATGACAAAATCACAGCAAATTAGAACATGTTTGATGTTTAAAATGTTATGGTGGGGTTTTGGATAAAAGAAAACATGACAAAAATAGAAAAAAAGCAGTCAATGAAATGTCTGGCAGCTGGTTAGGATAAAAACTAACATGGACCCATACATTTTGACTAGTTTGAACAAAGTGTTCAAAAACAATGTTTGTGTTTTCGCAGTGAATGGGCAGCCTCGGCCACTGGAGTCGTCTCAGGTGAAGCACCTGCGTAGAGAACTGATCCATTTCTGAACAGGCGAATTGGGACAAGCTTCCAGCATTGAGCTTTTATTTATTTTTTGTCCTCCTTGTAAGCGAAAAGCTGCATGAAATGACAAAATCACAGCAAATTAGAACATGTTTGATGTTTAAAATGTTATGGTGGGGTTTTGGATAAAAGAAAACATGACAAAAATAGAAAAAAAGCAGTCAATGAAATGTCTGGCAGCTGGTTAGGATAAAAACTAACATGGACCCATACATTTTGACTAGTTTGAACAAAGTGTTCAAAAACAATGTTTGTGTTTTCGCAGTGAATGGGCAGCCTCGGCCACTGGAGTCGTCTCAGGTGAAGCACCTGCGTAGAGAACTGATCCATTTGAGGAATAAAGTCAACAGCCTGCTGGACAGCCTGGAGCCCCCCTCAGAGTCTGTCCCAGAGAGCACCAACCCAGAAACCGGTACATGAACTCTCCCAGAGTGATTCTCATGTTCATCATATCCAGTACTGTAGCCAAAGCATTTGAAGCACATAAAGCCTCTCTTAAAAGCTTATTTAGATATAAAAAGGTGGACAACATAAAGGGTTAGTTCAGTAAAAATGTAGTCATTTACACATCCTTGTATTATTGCAAACCCACAAGACTTTATTCCTACTGTGGAACACCAAAGGAGATTTTTGGTAAATGTTCATGCTCTTCTTTACCATACAATCAAAAGCATACCGTGACCAGGGGCTGGCAAATTTCAAAAAGCAACTCAAAAATAGTCAATGTGTCAATAAGACATTTTTATTTATTGAAAAGGCTGATATTTAAGCTGTAAAGTGATAATCTGGCATCAAAATTGACACATTTTAATGAATGCATCCACATTTAGTGCATGGGTTTGGAACAGAATGAGGATGATGACGACAGAGTTTTCATTCTTTTTATCTCTTTACCTCGTAAATGTTCCTTGAGAGGGGAAGACAGGCGATACTAAAGCTGTCTTGTTCTGATGTCTCTGGGTGACAGAATGTGTGAATGAGGCAGTAGATTCAACAGTGAAGCAGGCCCCTCCAGTCAGTGCTGCTAGCATGTCTGCATTTGACCCCCTGAAGAACCAGGAAGTGGTCAACAAGAATGTAATTTCTGCATTTGGCCTGTCTGAGGAACCTGCCCAAGGTACCGTATACATGTACAGCCTTCATAGTGCTTAGTTGATCTTTTTAATCTTTTTTTTGTTTTTTTTCAGCCATAGCATTGATCATTGTGATAAATTACTTGATTAAAGACATAGATCATGCTATTTAATGGTTTATAGCCTCGTGCTGCATTAATACAGATTTCATTTGATGTGCTGTCACAGGTGTGCTTACCTGCTATTTTATGGCTTCTAGTGTAACTCATCCATTCATATTTAAGATCTTGAACCACCTATACGCTTCCCTGTGTTCCAATTCCAGCTGTAGCCGCCACCGCCGCTGCAGAGGAGCGCTCTGCAACTCCAGACAGTATTGCCTCTTCATCCTCTGCAGCGCCCCCTTCTGCTGTGGCTCCCCAGGCTCCTCCAGCTTACTCAGGGGTCCAACAACCTCCCTCTGCTACTATGGATGGTAAATCTACCACTTTTAAAACTTGTACCAAAAGTCTGAAATGGGACTTGATGTAGAGTGTGATCTAGAATGACGTCGCTTATAAGCAGTGTGTCTTACGTAAAGCCCACTAACAAACACACCTGATCAGGGTCGAGTGACCCGGTCTAATCATACAATTTGAAAACAGTCTATAGAGACTGGCCAGTCGATTTAGAGAATAGCAGTTTTGCACATCCATATTGCAGATGTTTCCTTCTGATGTTTACGGGAAAGAGTCCAGCGAAAGAAAGATGAACAAGGAATCATGTGGCTCAGAAGTCTTTGTAGTGAAATCAGAGCATGATGTTATTCTCCACTTGGCCATTGAAATATCTCCCCTCGTTTTCTTTCCAAAAAACGCCCACATCAGTCCAGTATACTTGAGAAATGCAGGACGGGTCTTGATTTGGCAGGTCATGCTGCTTTGGAAGGAAGGAAGGTTACCCACCTGTACTCACACATGTTCTCTCACACTTGTACACAAACACAAACCCACACAAAACGTATTTGTTTGCAGCAAAAAAAAAATCACCTTGCAGATGTTGTCTTCTAACTGAGGCTCTTGGGAAGGTGTACAGCGGAAGAAAAATGAACCAGAATGGCCTTCAAGCCAAGAGCGTAATGTTATTCTCCGCCCGTCTGTTGGATTTATTTTCCCCCTCACTCATTCCAAAGAAGTTCTCCCACATAGACATGGCGCACATGAGAAATTGTGCAGAGCTATTCTAGATTTGGCAGATTGTGTGGATGGTCTCCATGGTTGCATAGAGTTAAGGAGCTGTGATGCTTTTCTCTGCTTTATTGTTCCCATCATCCGCTGCACAGGGACGGACACACACGCGCAGCCTTTTCTCATTAGTTTCTTGGTGCGATACACACAAGCATTTATGAACTTTGGATAATCTGTTTGTGTGCTTTGTCACTGTTATCTTTACCCATTGTGATTTTGCACAAAGTGGGCTTTGTGGTCTAAAACGATTTTAAGTCTACTTTATTTGGATTCCAAATAAAGCATTTAAAATGTTGGTCAGACGTCTCTCCTCATCTTTAATCAGGAGCTGTGCTCTACGCAGATGGTCAGGCTGACACTGACTGCCAGCGTTTGGACGATCTATCATCTGCTCAATTTTATGTGGCTATTTGTATGTTTTCAATCAGACTTTCTGTATTGGCTCTTTATTTGTTGATATTCCAGAGTAACATGCCAGATATCCCACATTAAAATATATTCCGACACAGAGTGAGAGAGAGATCAGTTCTTAATATTTATGGCCCTCTGGTGTCCCAGATATTTCTCAAACGTTTGATGATGAAACCGAGTAACAGTGGGATATCCTCGCTAGGATCCACAAGCTGCTTGTTGATGTCCTGGATTTTTATAGGAATTCCCTCCCTTAACAGTGTGAATTTTAATCCTGGACAAAAACATGAATTTATGTTGTCTTAATCACAGAATCATGTTTATTGTTTTAAACAGGTCAGATGTATCAGCAGTATCAGGCTCCAGGTGGATACCCTCCAACAGCTGGTCCCCAGCAGCAGTACGGGATGCAGTACCCTGGTAATACTTCAAAACACCTGCTAATGATGCCTTCATGATTTAGAGCTCAGCTTTAAGCTCTGTTCCTAACAAATGTGATGCAGGCGTTTGCAAACAACTATTCAAATGAGTGTGATGCTGGATTTTCTCTGAAAAGTGTCATCAAAATTAGTTAATAATATATGCATTCGTTATTAATACATAACTATTAATAACATGTAAATAATGTAAAATGTGAAATATATACTAATTATATACTGCCGTTCAAAAGTTTGGGAATACTTGTATTGTTTTAAAATTGTTTTTGCCATGAAAATAGCCTAAGATGCTGACAAGGCATTAAATAAAAATATACTACTAGTACTCAAAAGTTTGGGATCAGTAAGATTTTTAATGTTTTTTTTTAAGACGTTTCTTCTGCTCATCAAGGATGCATTTATTTGATCAAAAATACAGAAGCATCAAAACCTTTCCTTGCCCAAAGGCATGTATATTAGCAAGCTTTAACATTGTTTATTTTTAAATTAATTATTTTTTAACCCTCTTTTTCAGCTGGTTATACTCAGGCTGGTGTTCCTCAGGCTCCGCCTCCTCAGCAGCAGTTCCAGAATTACCCCGCCCCTACTTCTCAGGCTGCTGGTGCTCCTGGCTCCGCCCCAGGGTTTTCCGGCCAATCACAGCCTCCTGCTCCCCAAGGACCCACCCAGTACCCGCCTGGAGCATTTCCGCCTCAAAACTACACATCGTGATGCAGGCGTTTGCAAACAACTATTCAAATGAGTGTGATGCTGGATTTTCTCTGAAAAGTGTCATCAAAATTAGTTAATAATATATGCATTCGTTATTAATACATAACTATTAATAACATGTAAATAATGTAAAATGTGAAATATATACTAATTATATACTGCCGTTCAAAAGTTTGGGAATACTTGTATTGTTTTAAAATTGTTTTTGCCATGAAAATAGCCTAAGATGCTGACAAGGCATTAAATAAAAATATACTACTAGTACTCAAAAGTTTGGGATCAGTAAGATTTTTAATGTTTTTTTTTAAGACGTTTCTTCTGCTCATCAAGGATGCATTTATTTGATCAAAAATACAGAAAAAAAACAGTAATATTATGAAATATTTTTACAATTTAAAATAACGGTTTTCTATTTTAATATACTGTAAAATATAACTTAATTATGTGATGCAAAGGTGAATTTTCATCATCCATTACTCCAGGCTTCAGTGTCACATGATCCTTAAGAAATCATTCTGATTTTTTTAACAGTATGCTGATTTATCAATGTTGGAAACAGATATGCTGCTTAATATTTTTTGGAACCTGTGATACTTTTTTCTGGATTCTTTCATGAATAAAAAGTTAAAAAGAACTGCATTTATTCAAATTATAAGTCTTTACCATCACTTTTTTTTTTTTAATTTAACAACGCATTTTTGCACATTAATTTCTTTCAGAAAAAAAATGACCAAACATTTGAACGGTAGTGTATATTATTACAAAATATTTATTTTTTAAATAAATGCTGTTCTTTTTTTACTTTTTATTGATTAAAAAAATCCTGAAAAAAAAGTATGTTTCCAAAAGAAAATTAAACCGCAAAAACACACAAATGCGCACACACACATGCATATATATATATATATACCACCCCTCCCCCTGGGGGTGCCAACCCCTATGCCCGAAACCGCCCCCCTTTTGGCCAGGGCTACACCCAGCCGGGCCCTGGCTATCGGTAAAAGGCCTTTAGTGTCCCCACAGCACCTCGCTACAAGTTTTCTCGGTCTCCAACACATCAGCCCCCAAAATCTGTGTTTGACATTCTAATATTGTGTTTGTTTGTGCTTTGCGTGATTGAATGAATGCGTGTGAGAATGAGACTGTGAGGTTGTATGTGTGTGTTTGCACACATGGGAAACCAAATGGTGTGGGAGTGGACAGCTGTGTGTGCATTTTATTTTATCACGGTCTCCTCATTGGTGTTATTTTGTCATAAACCATGAGTCTGTTTAAACACTAGAAAATTATCATAATCAAAGTAAGTGATATTTGTTTAGTTTTCTTTACTTTTTCCCAATGGCCTGGTTTTTACTAACCCCTGACTGGCCCTCTGCAGTGAAGCCTGTCATTTCTGTATAAACTGTAACATTGTTTTCAGGAGGTGAATAAAGACTTTGAGACTGAATGATGGGATCGTTGTTCATTTGTTCATGGAATTAACAACTTTCTTTAACTGATCAGGATTGCATAAAAAAAACAACACGAAAACTTGTATCTTTTCATGTCAGATTCAGAAACAATTTTAAACTAGCCACCAAAAAAAAGAGATCATAAAATAAACTTGCTTGTGCTTTTATTGGTAAAGCAGATTCATTTTAAACCTTATAAAATATATCAATGTTTCAATGTAAAAACAAGTTACATAAAATCTGGCATTTAAAAGCTTTCTCTGGAAATCATGAGTCACTGAACTTCTGTACAAAACAATAGACTTCCTTGTTAAAGAGATGTTGCATTTCTGACATTCATACATAGTATAATTACAACAATTACTTGAAAAGCTGCATGTCTTGAACAATAGTTTATATGACCTAGTCTTTAAATTCCTTGTTTAGCATTGCGCTTAAGCTGTTAAAGGAATGTTTCCGGCTTAGTACACTCAGCATGTTGTTAACAGCATCTGTGACATATTGACGATAACAGAAAAATCATTCAACTCTATTTGGGAAAAAAATAAAAATAAAGCACCTCCAATGAAAGTCTATGGGGCAAAGCATTGCACCCGGATAAACGTTAAAATGCACAGTATTTCATAAAGCCAAAAGATTTAATTAGGATATTCACATGAGACTAGTGTACTAGCTGTACAGATGTAGACTTTCCAATTTTTCAACTACAATGACCATATAAAGCCAGTAAACCTGGTAACTTTTGCACAATACTTGCAAGGTCCAAAAAAGGACTGCTGACAGAAAAATCCACCTTTAGGAATTACACTGGTAGTGCATGATCAAAAGTTCATCATAAAAACGTTTTTTATAAAAACTAAAAACGTTTTTCTTTTTAGTAAAAAGTATAGAATAAAAATTTTTATTATATTTTTATAATTATACACATTTATATTACATAAATTATATTTATATAATACAAATATAATTTGTGTTAGCAAAAATTATTTTCTGTGATGACAATGTTATAGATGCTGTCTACAAAACCTGTTTTGAACCTGGAACATTCCTTTAAGTTGGCCGTGGTCATTTTAGTTTCAGTGGCATATTTAACATTTTGATAAATAATATACACATTCATTTTGTCTTTAAGGGAGCCTGCTTCCCTATATTCTCTAAAGTTAAACTTCTTAATCTCAACAAGAACATTCATTCAGCTCTCTGTATGTTTGCTGCACTACTTCAGTATATAAATAATTCTATATGTGCCCGATACCCGAAAATACAGATACGTGCTTTCAAGAAATCATTCTCTCTACACAAACATCCCATAAAAAGGCAGCGGATGTTTCTTATCCGTCACGTCTTCCATCTGCTCCTCGGGGTCCTACCACTTCCCAGGAATGGGTATCCCACACTCATACCAGGCCACGTAGTTGATCATGGAATTTCCTCCGATGTCCCCAAACTTGACAGGCTCTTGACGCATGGCCCGGTAAAAGCCTTGATAAGACAGGAGAAATAGTCATATCTCGCATACTAGTGTTAGATTACTGTGCTCTTGTTAAATAAAACTTGTTTTTATTAGAAACCTTTTCTGGGTGGTAACTGATCTGGTGGAAGAAGATCACCGGTTCGTCCGTCCAGGAACGAGTCAACAAATTGGCAGTGATCCTCTCCATACCCAGTCTGATCTCCTATGCTGTAGAACTTCCCTGGAGAAAGAAAGAACTAAAAAGTAACTAAATGGCAGAAATATCTGTCGAGTTGGTAAATGGTTAATACTGTACGGACCTTTGAGAGAGTCGCTCAGATAGATCTTGTATCTAAGAGAGTTGCACAACTGGATACCCACAAACTTGCGGTACCAGGTCCGCTTTATGAACTGCTGCCCATTGCACTCGGAGTACGAGTCAGACTTGAATGGAAACGATGACCAGATGGCATTTTTACCTATGAGAGCCAATATAAATGATTAGACACACATGTACAGTTGGTATAGGCATATTGCGTCTTTCTATTTTTAATATTGTATGCTTGAGGTGACTGGCGCTCTTACCGGTTTGGATCTCACTCACACGAGGATCAGCTGCAATGCAGAAGAACATGATGTCACTGCAACTTAATGCATTGTTGATGTGACATTTTGGGGTCAGTAAGATTTAGTTTCTGTTTTTGAAACAAGTCTCTTACGCTCACCAAGGCTGCATTTTGTTTCTTTCATCAAAAACAGTAAAAACAACAGTAAAATAACTATTTGGATATACTGTAAAATGTCATTTATTCCATTTTGAATTTTCAGCAGCCATTAATCCAGTCAGTTCAGTGTCACATGATCCTTCAGAAATCATTCTGACGTGCTCAAGAAACATTTTGTATTATTATAAAAGTTGAAAATAGTTTGCTCCTTAATATTTTTGTGGAAACGGTGATGCATTTGTTTTTAGGATTCCTTGATAAATAGAAAACATAAAAACCTTTAATGCATCATCTCTTTCAAAAACAAAAATCTCACTCACCCCGAACTTTTGAACAGTGTATATGCAAATGTATGTCTAAAAGTTAATGAAATAAACCATTTTATCATACCTACTGTGAAACTATACATACATAAATTAGGCCGATCCAAACATATAAACATATGCCATTCAGGTAATTATTATTACACTCAACGCCTGAATATAACGAAACAGCATGGTTTTCAACTCAAGTTATTAAAAATCCAAAGCCCCAAGAAATTCCCCTGACATGTCCTCACTATCATGATGTACAATTTTCCAGAGCTTGTGTCAGATATCCTCATGGTTATTATTATTTTCTGGCAGTCTATCAGGGCCCCTTTACCTACAGTAAATAAGTGCAAAGGAGCCAGAAGAGAGAACACATTGGAACTATTAGTTGAACATTAGGCACATTACTCTCACTGCTGACAGTAATGTTTATATGCTAATTATACATATACATTACAGCATTGCCAATTACACACACCTGTGAGCTTGATGTCTCATTATTACGTTACCTTGGCCTGAATGACTCTTCTATCATATGAGTGCCAGTTTCTTTAAATTGTTCAGTGATGTCAAACATAATCGGTTTTCACGCAACTTGTGACTAATCACAATGATTTCGAATGTTTTGAAGCATGAATGAGATTTAAGTGAATAATGATTTATGTTTAGGTCTGTTTTTCACACATGGCTCTAGGCTACGGCGTATGGGTGTGCGTCTATGCGTAAACTACGGCGTAGGTCCGACGCAGAAGTATAAATCAGCCTTTAAGATGAGCTTAAATATAGTGCAAAAACTCTAAAAGTAAAAACCATTAAAGCTTCTCTTGTTGATACAACGGGCCCAGTGACACTTCTAGAACAAACAGAGCTCAGATTCACTGGATGAGCCAAATGATTTCACAATGAGCTCAGACCAGATTGTGGTTTCAGATCTGGGACTTTTAGCTGAGACTCTTACACATATTCTGAACACACAATGTATTCACAATGAATTAATTTAACATTTCTTCTCCGCTTACCTGACTCAGTACTGAAGGTGACCGGTTCACTGGCTGGGCCA